AAATGAGATACAACTTGTGTTGAGGGTAGTCAGCGGGTAAGACAGAAAGATGGCATCAGACCTCAGAGCTGGTCTCCTCCTAACACTTGTGGTTTTGCTCAGCTGTTGGGAGAACCAGTACTTCTGACCTTTCCCAATAACTGCTGCCTTAGATTTAAGCCTTAATTTCCTTTCCTGTATGTCTAATCCTCAGCAACCCTTGTTGCTGTTAAATATAGCAAAATGGAAAAAAAAAAATAAATCTTTTCTTCCCTACAAGACCAGGACACAGTTTGGAGTTCAAAACACATGCTTCAAAGAAAGAGGGAAAAGTCAGCCAGAAGGCATCCAAGCTATCAGGCTATGGCACACATGGGCCGCCAGGACAAATCAAGCTGATTGATAGAAAACTACTAAACCTTCAACATGTGAGTCCTTAGGTTGGACACTTTGTAAATGTTCATAAGGCCATTTGAAGTCACGACCAAGCAACTCCACAGAGTGAGAAAGTAATCAACCTGAAGACAAAATCAAGACAATCTGGGGAGGAAGAAAGATCTGTTGTCATCATGAAGAATCTCATTTCTGTTTTGTTTGCGTCCTACAGCAAGGGAACAAAAAGTCATATGGGAAGCATTAGAAGACACAGAGATCAGATTTTGAGGAGAGCTTTACTTTCATTTTTTAACGTTTGTTTCTGTCCAAAAGATATTCTGCTGAATCCTCCTAAAAATGAATGTACATCTTCTGGCACCTAGGTTGTACCAGAGCTCTTTTGAAAATCTAGGTCCAGTTATGAGCAACTAAAGATCACTTGATTTTTTTTTCCCATAAGCACTCAATTTTTGAGGTGTGAGAGGGTCCTTCATACCCTTCATCATGAATTGGACCTGCAAGTGCTCAGCCGCCTGCAAGGACTGCTCTGGGCACTTCAAGGAACTTTGTGTTGACTGGAGGTTACCTTTCTATCTAAAGATGTTCTTCCAAAATGCTCCATACTGGAGTAGGACAAAGTCTTCAAAACCTACTTCATTCCTTCGATTATGCATGTTTACATTAATAAGACATCCTACACTGTAATCGAGGTTGTCTTGGCATAAAAACCCTTTTCATACTGAGGAGATGAGGTTTATTTTATAGCAACTACTGAATAAACAATTGAATTAAAAATTAATCCATATTCCCACCTTCGAATAAAATCGGGATGGTACGACACTTACTTTTGTCCAAACTGAGGTAAGAAGATTCTTTCTCTCTTCAAAGGGACATGACAAAAGTAGAGATGTGGAAGTGTGGCAACCATCTGCTTTGACATCTTAACACAAGACAAAAAAACTTTGGCACTTCCAAATTGGAAGTTTTATTTGAGTTTGCTGACTGGGCCCCAAACCATTCATTCTGAGTCACGTCGCCATGAACCATGTTCCTGGCGGTTCCTGTGGCACCTCTGGGCAGCAAAGAGGTGCCTGTTGTCCCCCCAGCCAGGCACAGCTCTATAAGGGCCGGGCGCAGAGCCCACAAGGGCAATGGCAAGCACGATCTGAACGCTTGCTGCCGTGAGGCAGTGCCGTGTGTTTGGCAAGGGACTGTGGTCTTGGAGCCAGCAGCCCCTAAGAGCTTTGCTCTGGGTCAGTTCAGCAAACACAAAAGCTTATGATTGGGCTGAAGAACTTCAAAACAAAGTCTATCTATTTATTTCTTCTTTCCCCTCACCACATGCACAAACCACTCAAGGCTGACCTTTTTCCACATACATTTTTTACTGTCTTTTCCTGAAAAGCCTTTTACTGCACCTTTGTACTACAGCTGAGGCAGCAAGGAACACGTGTAGGGGTGGAGGGGAGGGAGCCAGGCAGGACTATGGTTTCAGCTTGGCCCTCCTTGCTGGCACTGACTGGGGAGATCCTAATGCCTTGTCACCTTCCTCCTCACTTGGAGGGGAGAAGTGGATGATCCTGTGCCAGGGGCATCCAGCCACTCCTAGTAGAGAGCAGCAGGCTGGGCACACTCCTTCATCATGGTACAGCACTGTCTCATCATGCTCCATGTCATCGACCAGTGTTGTCATTGTCTAACACGACATTAACAAGTGCTCTGATTACAATGCACTGTGAAAAATCACATCTTCTAGGGCAAATGTAAGGTGAGATGGCAAATGTGTATCAAAAGCATAAAATAGGGTGAACGTTCTTTGTTTAAACTGCATGTATGTATTTTTAGAAATAGATGTATCTATTTCATTATATCTATATTCCTTAGAGTTTTATTATACTTTTTTGCAATCTCCTTTTAAAATTATTAAATAGATACAGTAAATTAAATCTTGAATAAATGCGTTGGGCCTGAGGCTAGTCAGAGGAAAGTATTACTTTCTAAAGCAAATGTTGGTATAATTTGCTTTCCTTCCCCTAACACTTTTGCAATTTCCACATTTAAAACACACTGATAGCTCCCAGGACATGATACTGGAAAGTAAGTCCTGGAACATCTGGAACAAGTATTAACTCATTTGACTGACCAAAAAGAAAGGGAGATACAGGGAAACATCCTAAACATATAATGAAAAAAATAAGGAGAACCAGGACAGGAAAGGCCCCAGCACTGTCTTCAAATGGACATCGCCGTTATACGAAAGCACTGTAGGGACATGAATTACAGACTCTTGGAGATGAGATACCAGTAAATACCTTTTATCCACCACTGTAAGGGACTAAGAGAAAGTGTTTGCAGAGAAGCAAGCCAGTTAAGCCTGGACTCTGGCTCTCCATATGTGGATTAGCGTATATGACAAACAGAGCAATCCTAATTTATTCCATCTGGTCTTAGTCAATGCATAACATGCCAGGACAGCCCTGGCCCTCCCTAGCCCTGCCTTTGGGGTCTATATGCTGTTTACAGGATGATGTAAAGAGAAATCTCCCTCTATTGCTGCTCCGAACCTCGAAATTGGCCCTCATGGAGGGCAGCGAGAGATCAGTAGGGTTTTCTGCCTTGCACAGAGCCTTAATTCAAATCAAATATAATCCTGCTGA